AGAGCCAAGGAATACTGATTTATACAGCATTTCAGGACACCACATGACCCAATGGGAGATGTACAACCTGCAATTTAACTAAAAGGGACAATGTCAAGGCTAAAGAGCCCAAAGTTTTACCTACTTTCCCTAGTCTGTTTCTAGGACAAGATATAAGGCTGCAAAGAACAAAGAAAACATGCCTAAAAGTGGTATGGGTTAAGAAGCTGTATGAGTGTACGATTACAACACAGAAGCTGAATGGAGAGGTAGAGGGGAAGCCCTGGGCCAGAGTCAAAGGAGCTTCAGCCTGTCCCCCATGGTGAACCCCTCTGTCTCCAGGTCTTGGTGTCTCACCTGTACAACAAAGAGGTCGAGCAAAATCATTCAAAATTTTCCACTCAAGTAGCTCTAACTACTAAGGAGAGTATAAATGAGAAGTATGGAAGTACATCATTAATTGAAAACTTGTGTTTTTCCTCTAAAAAGCCATGCCAATTTTGCATTCTGTGCAATTATATATCAATGTTTATATTCATATTTTAAGTGGAGTTTTCCCCAAGAAAGCACTCCAAGTAAAACTGATTCACAGAGGAGCTCTGTGTTTATACAGTGGCTCCACCACATAAGTCCTACTTCCACCTTGGCACATGCCATGTACCCCAGGGTGTGTGTGGTAGGCAGCCCCTAGAAGGCCCCTGTAAATCCACCTCCTAGTATGCAATTCTTCCCCTTGCATGTGGGTTGGATTCAGTGACTTGCTTCCAGCAAACAGAATAAAACAGAGGAAAAGGTGTGTCACTTCTAGGATTAGGTTACAAGTGGAGTGTGGCATGCATCTGGAGGGCTCTCTTGCTCCCTCATCTGAGGGTTTTGCCATGTGAAGCTGCCTCATGGAGAGGCCCACATGGACAGGAACTGAGCGCAGCTCCAGCTCACAGCCAGCAAGCTTGCATTTGAACTGGGTCCAACAACGCATGAGGAATCAAATCCTGCCAACAATCATACAATTGAGTTTGATAGTGGACCTCCCTAGCTGGTCTTCAGAAGAGACCACAGGGTCAGCAGACCCTGGCCTGCGGCCTCAGAAGGACCTTGAGGTCCATCTTCTGACTCACAGAACTGAGAGATTATCATTGTTTCTTATTGGAAGGTGCTAAGTTTGGGGTAATCTGTCATGCAGCAACAGATAACAAAGACAGCATCCAAGCTGGAGAGGTCCTCTCCTTTTTTATTTGAATGGCTCCTGTCAACTCCACCATTTCTCAGGTGCATAGGAAGTAGACCATCAGATCTCTTGAGGGAACTAGTATCCCTGAATATAGAGATGTTTTCCAGTCTGGAGACACAGACTCCGGCATGCTCTGACCTGTATTAGAGATGAAATAATTTCAATGCAGGTCAAAATAACATGGCAGGTACAGTGGCAGCATGTTAATGAAAATGAACTGGAGACAGTCACATGTGGATGGTGAGAGACTTCTTACTTGGCCAGGTATATATGCTATCCAGGCCATGCACCTTCAGACCTGATCAGCCCTAGTGGGCCAAACTGTCCACAGGTCCACCCTGAGATCTGAGAGCCTAATTTACCTCGATTTTTCAGACCTAATATGAGATCTTAAATGTATCTGATGATTAACAAATGTGTTATAATCAGTACTGCTTTCCTGTGAGTTTCTCATGTGGATATCTTTCCCTCCAACTAGACTTCAGGTTTTCTCAGGTTTTCTTCAGGTTTTCTATAGGGACTCCATGTTGTCTGAAAGGATCAGGTCAATACTAGGATGAGAGTAGAGAACAAGCATAGTGATAGAGTGTCGGTGAACGTGGGTAAATATCAGGCAGTATCGCTAAAGGACTTGGAGAGCTCTATACTCACTGGACATGAGATCCCTTCTACCACATAGTAACTCTATGAGAGAACCTGAGAACTCCCGTGGCCTCCCCACCGAACAGCATAGTTATTTCTTCTATGCTGAAGTCAGAAAATAGAATAATGTGGAATTATTTATTTTTATGGACCACGAACACCTCCCACAAGCTATCTCTGGGTTACAGGAGAGCCACAGGGCTTCAGGAGGCTGTTTGGGCCTACTCAGACCCAACAAATCCTTCTGTGATTTCTGAAGCTGTCACATAAAAGCAAAGACAGCAAGAAGCGTGCCCAGAAACCACCTGACCAAGAAACTGCAGGGAGCCAAGAAAGTCACCTCTGACAGAAGTGACCAAGGCTTTGCTTCCGGCAGAGACTAATACCTGATATTTCTGAAGACCAAAGAGGAAATATTAAAACTGAAAGCCCTTGGCTACCATTAACAATTGTACACTAGTATCAACAGAGGGAAATAATTTCCTTCCTGACTCCCACTGGGCCAGTCATGCCTGGAGCAGAAGGTGTGATTATCTAATCAAACAAGGCAAGAGCCAAATGGGCTAGACTGTGGCTTCCAGGGGGTTCTCAAGCATAGAGACTTCCTCAGTCTATGAATCTACCTCCTGCTGCCTAGACAAAAAGGAAATATGAAAAGTAACAATAATGCACTTTCATTTCAGCTTCAACCATTAAGAGTAAGCAAGTCTCCAGATCTAGCAGCTTTCCAAATCTAAGGACAAATTAGAGCCCATGCAGTCTTGGGGGTGATAGTGGTGCAGGCTGGGAGGGAGGGCGGACATGCAGCATACACCATGCACAAAGCACAGTGCTGAGAACTGAACATTACATAGTCTTATATTTCTTTATACTTAAGTCTTTAAGTATGAAAAAAAAAATGCAATGACCTATCATAAATAGACCCCACTTTATGGGCTGTGCAACAGGCTGGTGTATATTCACAACACAAATACTCTAAATAAACAGGAGTAGACAGCAAGAAGGTGACAGGGTGTTGCTCTTCTAGGACTGAGCTGCTGTTTATTGGCACCTGACTCTCTTTTAAACTACTCACCAACTGCCTGAGTCATTCTAGTCCCCAAAGCCCCTTTCTGTCCAGTCATGTTTAATTCTCATAAAACCAACAAGTCCAGCCTCATCGTGCTAAAATTCCTAAAGCTTTCCAACAGAGAATTAGGCAATATCTCCTGAACACCCTCAGGGCCAGGGACACTCATTACCTTTGGATTACTCTTTCTTTTCATGAAACTGCCCCTGGGCCTATTAAAACCAGAGATCTCATACTGTCATGACCCAGAGATGCTGTCCATCTTTTGACCAGGTTTTATATTCTTGAAGATCATACTTGTGTAAGCCAAGCATCCTGCGTTCCTAGGGTCTCATTCTTCTACCTGCTCCCGGAGAAAGATGATGCCTGGTGCTCTCAGCATCTGTGGTTGGCTAATGTCCTTTTCTGAGGATGAGACAAGAATTCAAGCCCAACTCCACATCGGGGGCTCTAACAGTAGGATTTCCAATCACCCATGTAGCTCCAACCCTTGCTCTACCTCCTTACAACACCAGATAGACTTCTGAGAGACCACCGCTTCTCTGTGTAGCTAGCATGAGATTCAGGTGAGATCACTTCCAAATTCAGATCCGAGGGGGACCCAGGTTACCTTCATGCCGATTCACATCATTTTATCCTCATGGTGTCAATGACTGGGTCAGGAAGGTGCAAGAAATCAAGTGCGATCAAGTATGGCAAAAAGGGCTCTCAAAGGGCAGAGGAGTCTGCAGCCGGTGACAACGGGAAGCTGTATCATGACTATGAGGTGACACACCCTGAAGAAGACCCCCACACAAGGCCAAGAGCAGAGCAAGGAGCACTGCAGAGAAACTGCAGGAGCCTGCTCAACCTGCTCCTGAAGCCCACCTTACTGAAGACACGTGGATTCCCAGAGGACCCCATGTCACTGTGTTCTAGGATCCATACTCCACTTATTGCAGTCTAAGGCTGTGTCAGCAATTTAGAAGGCAAAAGCCACTGTTGGCTCAGAGTTAGTTCCCTGACAACAAAAACATCTGAGTCCCTTCCAACTTGTTCCTATTAAGGCACTCTCCTATTCCGTCATTCTACACTGGAATTTTGTTTTTAATCCAAGTTCAAGACTCCATATTCAATCACAATTTAATTTTGAATTCCAAAAATCAGAAAGCAAAGTAGGTAACAAAGATGCACATTTGATGCTTACATGTGCTCGTGGGATGTAAGTTCAATCACAATTTAATTTTGAATTCCAAAAATCAGGAAGCAAAGTAGGTAACAAAGATGCACATTTGATGCTTACATGTGCTCATGGGATGTAAGGTTCAAGACCATGTTAGAAAGTTCAACATACTAAAATGCTTCAAAGTCAAAACAAAAGTTCGAATCCTTTTATTTCATGAAGATCCACAGGCATACAGAAGCCAGTTTTTCATTTAAGATACATTGAGAGGCCCTCCCTGGTGGCACAGAGGGTTAGGACGCAGCAGTGGGGGTGAGCTGCAGCCGCTCCAGTGAGAGTTCGATCCCTGCCCCGGAGGTGACCCAAAAGTCTAGCAGACTTCTCCTGACCCGCCCGCTGCTGCCCTCAGCAATGTACTTCGTCAGTCGGCCTGTTCTGCCCCCCACTCTGTCTCTGGTGAACCCTCTCACCACCCCTGCATCTCTGGATTGTGTCCCAGTTCTGTATGCATAAATAAATAAATCTTTATTTTAAAAAGATACATTGAGAAGTGAAAAGGCAACAAAATGTAACTATAAGCTCAGTGGCACTTCTGAAGGAAGTTCAGTTTTCTCAGTTACATCCTCTGCTCCATTTTGGAAAAGGACACCATAAACACAACAAAGCCTATCATTTATTCAGTATAAGAGCAGTGTTTGGGGCACATACGGACTGGAGCCAGCACAGACACCACAGACCTAGAATTCGAAAGGAAGTGTTTCCCAGAACTTACCAGCCTTAATCTTCAGATGATCCCCCAAATCCAGAGTACCTCACACCATTAATACTTTTCCCACCCCCGTTTTTAGAGCATGATATTCTAACCTACCCACTAATCACAGAGGAATTCTAAGAGCACAAGGGAAAGTTTACCTTACCTGATCACCACTCCCCTCCCAAGTATGAGCAGGATTCAACTCAGACCTCAATGGAGCTCCAGCAGTCCCTTTAAAAAAAGATACTACCTAAGCAAATTTAGCTTCCCTTACACAGGGATGTTGTGAAACTAGAAGAAGATTACAGAAAACGTGTCATAAACAGGAGTAAACACACAAATATTATTTCTTTTCCTCACAAATGTCCTTAACACTGTTCATGGATATTTTCATTTTGGTCCTGCAATTTCAAGAGTGCCTCCTTCCATGCCAAAGGAGAGAGAAGAAAATGATACAATTATTGGCACCCCGGAATCTTCATTACTCTAAGCTTCCTTCCAATTTCTCTTCATGCCACTTTCCAAGAGCTGAGTCCTGCTTTTGCTTTGCCACACATTATATTAGCATTATTATATTTCATCCACTGCCAGTGAAGTCTACTCAAGAAAAAAGATGTAAGAATATTTTGGTTCATTTCTAGTTCTTAGTCCATAGTAGTTACTAACATTTAAACAGAGAGCAGTGATTTCTAAAGCTCATTGAGACATTCACACTAATAACAAGGGATAAGTTCTTTTCTTCATAAGACTCACCCGTTGAGGAAAAATGCCTTCCCTCTTCTAGTGCGCAGGAGTAGAACAAGGCAAAAAGAACAAGACTTGGAATCAGACGACTGGATTCTGTCTTCAGTTCTGTTTCTGAACCACAGTGTTCCCACCTATGCAAAATAGGAGAAGGTGGTTACTCTCACAACTCATCAGCCTTAGAGCTTCCAGATTCATGAACTCATGAGCTGGATGCCAGAAACAATGCCATGCTTGAAACCCACAAATCCAGGGCCTTACCTCACTACCTCCCAAGCTCCTTGTTAGCTCCTGGCACTAGTATTTCACTAATTTGTCCCAAAGTGGAGGAAAGAGAATTCAGGTGCCCCAATGTGTGGTCCTTAGCTGTCCTGGGAAAGCAATTTCATCATAGAATCAAAGGTAAAAGATGTAGGTCAATTACTTAGAAAGATTTTAAGCAAGAAAAGAATTAACAGCAAAATCTGAACTACATGAAATACAGACAAATAGCTAAGTACAGAACCTTGTGATCAGGCGAGCCTGAAAAATGAAAACCAGTGAGTAGGAGAGAGCAGAACAATCTTGACACTTTCTGGTGAGCAGCAGAGAGCAGAACAATCTTGACACTTTCTGGTGAGTCTTCATTACAGATTTTTATTTCATTAAGAGCAATTACTATTTTGCTAAATATCATGCAATAGATATTCACCAGATAAGTATTCTAGTCATTGAACAATCACAAAACATGTCTTTTGTACTTGTAGGAGAAATCCAATGGGTTACTACTCCTATTTTCATTAATGTTAAACAATATTTGACCAATCATATTATTCTGTGTATATCTTGCTCAATCTTTAAATACTTATATAAATTGAAAATCAGGAAGGACCTTGAAAATGATCCATCTCACCTCTTCTAACAAGAAAACTAGGGGTCAGTATAAGGAGGAGGTGACTTTAGGAGCTACCATTTATGGCAGGCACTCTGGCACTCTGGTCCAAAACTTCAACCCTGAAGCCACTTTGACGATAGAAGACAAATGGGAAAGTGGACATGCCCTCAGTTTCACAGTCAATCACATGCCCAGACCTCTGAGTACCTGCTGCAAAGTTCTCACAGGATAGCCGAACAGGAGAAAGAAAGTAATTTAGGAAAACAGAGCAAACACTAGCCCAGCTAGTGGTTGTCAAGGATATTAGATTTCTCCATGAGAGAAAGGCCTAATTTCAATCTGACTTAGGAACAGTAGTTAGGAGGCCTATGTTGGACCCATGGACAGTACAATCTCACACAAAACAAAAACAAAGCCCCACCCCTCATCCCCAGGAAACCCAAATCTCTCCTTGCAGAGAGAGATAAATCAGGATGGTTTCTACAACAGCAGCAAATAGCACTATTTCTATACTCTGCAAAATTCTCCACCCTTTGGCTTTGGGGAAATCTTTCACACATTCATCATTTTCCTCCATGCACAGATGAAAGTAGCCTTCTTTTTCCACAGTCAACTTATTTTTTAATAATTTTTTTCTTCTTTCCATAAAGAGAACAAGCAGATTTGCTAAAGAACCGCTGTGAAATGATTGAAGTTCCCATGCAAACAAACCATTAGCAGAGTTCAAATGCAATTTAAATTACCAGTTGTTAAAGTGCTCTTCAATTTCGTGGTAAGTTTCCAAGGAGAATTACATGCTATATACTATTTAATTGGTTGTTTTCTATTTTTTAACATCCATTTATCCCCCCCACCCGTATATTTCAAAAGTGTCTATAAAAGCTTCCCTTTAAAAAATTATACATTGTTGAATAGATTAAATCTAAAGATTGAAAAGTATCAGAGAAACAGCTGCAGGATTATGCAGCTCAGCAGAAATTGATGGTTTGACACCACAAAACATGCAGAATTTTAAAAGCTTAGGAGTCACCGTGTAGTGCCCTCACGCTTTTACGATGAAGACATTGAGACCCCAAAGGGAAAAGGAACTATTGGCCCAAAGTCCTCTTTGTTTTGTTACAGATTCCAGTCAAAAATCACAGCCCCTAACTCCCAACTTTACTATCTCCTTCCACACCTTGATTGAGATGTTGGAACTAGTCAATAAACTTTCTTTTTCTCCTGTAGTTTATTAAAAGAGTGTTAAGTCATCTTTAAATACACTACTGACCTCAAAGTGGAGATGGGAAATCATAAATATCTTCCCAAAAGGGAGTAAAGGAAGTTTACTTTGATGAGTGGGTACAGTCAAAGGAACACAAAATGAGCAGGTTCTTGGCAGGAAAATTCAAGACACTGGACCCGTTAAACAAGTAAAGGGACATCAAGACTGAAATTTTCCATTGTTTTTTTGGGGGCCCAAAATTAGTGACTGTCCATGTCCAAGGGACAACAAAGTGAAGGCGAATGTGTCACATCTGAACCTGAAAAGGATTTCTAGGGCCCATTGTGTGAACAGGGTGAACTTCCAGGTTTTGATATTGGACTGAGTATAATATTTAATCTCCCTAAGCTCAAGCTTCCCTGCCCACAAACCAGGGCAAATACCACCTATCCACTAAGGCATAAGTAAAAATAAAGTAATTTCCCAGAATCCCATTTCCAGCATACACAAAAGCCCCTTATGCAAAATGCATTAATTAATGTTCACCCCCAACCCCCATGTACCAAGTTTCTATAATTTCCCAAAAATATGGTTCTTTAATTCTAATTAATTTCAATTATAGCTGATTCTTATAAGCCATGTATGTCTCCATACCTGTTAGGTGTTAGATGTACCCTGACTATAAATGCATTTACTTGTTGTTTGAAAAAGAAAAAACGTATATGCAAATTTTATATATACAAGCATTTTCCTCCAAAATCAATTTTTTTGGGAGCTGCTATTTAAAAATGGCATTCAGGATTATGCTCAGTGAAATAAGTCAGAAGGAAAAGAAAAGTATCAGATGGTTTCACTTATAGAAGGAACATAGGAGAATCAATTAAGGGATTAAGAAACAATAATAAATAAAACAAAATTAACAGACAACTATAAATCAGAGACATTCTGCAGGGAAGGGGGAGAGGAAGGATCAAAACAGGAGAAGGAAGAGCATAAGGGACTCTGGTGATGGTTCATGGGTTTACATCTGAGGGAAGAAATCAAATACTGTACAAAAATGAAAAATGACATATATATATATACATATATATACATATATATATAAAATAATAAAAAAGGCCTTCACATTCAGCATATGAACCACACAGAAATAAAAATCCCAACTTAATATCTAAAATCTCATTTAAACTTTCTATTAATCCTATGAGAAGGAAATCCTCAACTGATCACTGAGAAAACTGAGGGTGAGGGCAATCAGACAAGGTTTAGGGGGATAATAAATGGGAAAGCCAGAACTCAGACCCAAATCTTCAAAATCAAGCCCAATAACACAAGTTCTACTACTTTGCAGTTACAACTGTGCTATGGAGGGACAACTCTTCTGTTAAAGGTAGAATGATACCTTAAAAAGCTTGTTCTGCTGTTTTCACATTTCATGGAGTTTTGGGATTAAAAAACAAAACCTAAATTTTCAAGCTAAAAAATGTTCCCATTAGAAACAGAAGATCCCGTCTAAATTTCACTTTATCGTCACATTCTTAAGTGAAATAAAAAACTGAGAGCCCTAGCACTCAGCACATATCTGCTCGGGATGTGAGAAGCGGGCCTGAGAAAGGTGAGCAGTGAGCTGATCATCAGGCCAGTTGAGAAAGCAAAATTCAAATAGCTGGGTTCATCAAACAAGTCATGGGTAACCCTAGCATGAGCCTCTGAACACCTCTCTGATAGCACTGTCAAGTGACATGATGTCCAATGTCCTGCATTCAGAAGTGCACAAAACAGACATTTGTTAGCATTTCTTCTCTTTAGTAAGGAGCAGAGCATGGATCTGGTAGGTGTAGGCACTAGCTAAATATGCTCTGGATTCTGAAAGAGCCGAGAGCTTCACTGGGGACAAAGCCAGACACACAAGACAGAATGAAAAGTATACAAATAATATTTACGTGTTGTTTCCTTTGAGATCCTAAAAAAGCTAGGTGAATGGTGACTTCTGAAGTGAGGCTGGAAACCCAAGAGGATTTCCATGCATGAGGAAGAAGAAACCAGGACCAGGGAACATGATATGCTCGGGCTTTGAAGGAGATGAGTTCAGGGTGTTCTCAGGGCAAGTGACTAATCTGGAGAGGCCAGTGGCAAAGGACATAGAGGAACGTGGTGGGACATGAGGCTGGAAAGGAATGTTGCGGCCAGAGTTTGCAGGACCTTGTGCCAGGATAAAACACTTGGATCTGGAGATTCTTGACTTAAGCATTTTGGGAAGTGAGACAAGAGAAAGTAAATTGTAGAACTGGCCTTTTAAGAACCTCTTCCCTGATTGGGACAATATCTAAAGGCGAGTTTCCTCCGAAGGGACCCCTTCCCTTTGGCTCCTCCCACAAAGAGATTGGAGGAGTGAGTCTCCAAGCTGCCTCAACCCAACCCTCCATTGACCCTAAGTCTGGATTTTCACCCATAAAAGACTCAGAAAGAAACCAAGTCTCTTATCAAAGTACGACTCCCATGTTGCCTTCAGAAAATGCCAGCACTACCCAACTTGATTATCAGAAGAAGACAGTCTGGATACATGCTCTAGACTCCCTTCTGTCACTCAGGTAGACGGAGCCAGAGGCCCCTTTGGCATGGCCTGTATATGCCCAAAACAGTATCACAGAGCACCTGGCCAGGTCTGGCACTGTGAGACTGAGGAGTTGTGACCAGCAATTAGCCTGTATGAATTTCACCAGTTAGGTTGTATGGAATCCTCCTCCCCGAAAGATGACTTGGTTGCAGGTTCCATATGTCAGAGGTATAGACAAGACATGACTCCCTTCCTGTTCCTGATCTAGGAGAGAGAAGACCCAAAGCAGCACTCAGCAAGCACCATAGAGGAAACATGGATAACAACACAAACACTCATAACAATGCTGTGACTAGGTGAGGTTATTTCTATCCAACTTGACAGATGAGGATGAGGTG